AGTGAGAAAAAGTAATTTGACAATGTGGGAATTGACATACATTCTAAAAACTGTTTTTGAAATCAACGATAAAAATTTTTACACGTCACTACTGGTCAAACTGCCTGTGCAAATTCATCGTACAATTAGATTAATTCTTAAACAAATACAGCTAAAAATCCCAATTTCCGATTGTAGTTGTACATCTAAACATGCCCCTAATGCTTTTGCATATCTAGTAGATGAATAATGTTCTATCAATGTTTATATTTCTACTATAAGGAATCAGCTAAGTGATTTCTTCGACATTCAGAACACTTATGATCATTCGATATCATAGCAAACTCAGGAGACATTTCAATTTCTAAATAGATTGAATAAAATTCAGAAGTCACGTCTCAAAACATCAAGTTCCTTTAGACATTATGGCAAACTTATACCATATCGGACCGACAGATAGACTAGTAAATTGATTGTTAGCAATATCGACAAAATTCATTTGATCAGGTGACGATTCTTTTCTTCGAGCCCACGAATTACAAGAGAGAATCCCATCAGGGACATGATTACAATCTGCAAAAAGCAAGCAGAAATCGTAGAGTAATCAATTATCATCATAACCGCAACTCTCCATGCCAGAAAGTAAATCTAATGAATGAGAAGAGAGCCAAAGTCCAGGTTTTTAGTTGTAAGTTTGATAAGTGCGTTTTGTGCACTTATTCGAACTAAATTATTAAGTTTTTATGTCGTCTAATTGTTATTTTACTCAACTTGAGTTAGTTTTGGTTTATTTCAGTGTTTGACCCGTTTCTAAATGTTTGGAAAAGAAAGATGACAAAATTGAATAAAAGTTATAATTTTGGGATCAAATTCCACAAGTTAGAATTTGAGAGGACATTTGTTGCCACAATTGATGAACTCAAGGACTAAATTGCATTATTTGAAAAGAGATGAAACCTCGGAGAGAAATATTACATTAAACGGACATTGAAATTAAATTGTCCTTAGTTTGGACTTGCATTTGGAATCAAATTAAAGGATCGCTTGGGCTCCTGTTGAAAGAAACGAATTCGGCGGCTAAGGGTCTATGCTTGGAAGTATCGCCGTACCAGTTATGAGCTTTTTTTAAAGTAGCAATTTTTGAACCGATCAATTTTGAGTGGTTTTAGTAGCAATTTTTAAAACTCTCTAACTTATGTTTGGTAGTTTATTATTCACCAAATCTGAAAGCTGTTTAAAAGAATAAAATTAGATATATATCATTTAGTAAAATTTTCTTTTATATGAGTTTTTTTTACTTAGAAGTGATGTTTTACTTATAAATAATTTTTTTATATAAGTTAATATTTAATTTCAAAAATTAATTAAAATTTTAAGTTAAAATTTTTTACTTATAAATATATTTTACAATTATAAGTTAATTTTATACTTTTAAATAACTTTAGGTGAATTTTTTTTGTATTTTATAAGTGAATTTTGTCTTATTAATAATATTTTTATTTTATAACAATTTTTTAATAAAAGTGATTTTTACTTTTAAGTAATTTTTAATTATAATATATTTTTTCTTATCTTACAAGTAATATTTTACTTATAAGTATTTTTTTCAATTATAATATAATATTTTTAAATCATAAATAAATTTTTAGTTAATATATCGTTATTTACAATTTACTTTTGAAGAAAATATATTAGTCGTAAATAATTATTTTATAAAGAGTAAAATTAGAAAAGAAAAAGAGAAACGATCAAAATCCGTCAATTTGGTGAATTGAGAGAACCACTCAAAATTATATTATACCAATTTTGGATCGTCTAAAATGTCGTTTTTAAGCCATCCAAAACTGGTATTCAGAAAAAACTAACAAGCACCGATTTTTTCAACACCCGTTCAAAATTACACTATGTGTCTGTTTGAACTGCATTATTTTTCTCATTCTTCTACTCATTTTTAACAACACATTTTTTATTTTATAAAGAGTAAAATTAGAAAAGAATAAGAGAAACGGTCAAAATCCGTCGATTTGGTGGGTTGAAAGAACCGCTCAAAATTATATTATACCAAATTTGGATCATCTAAAATGTCGTTTTAAGCCATCGAAAACTGGTATTAAAAAAAAAAACTAAGCACCTATTTTTTCAACACTCGTTCAAAATTACACTATGTCCCTGTTTGAACCACATTATTTTTCTTTCTTCTACTCACTTTCAACAACACATTCTTTATTTTATAAAGAGTAAAAATTTGAAAAGAATAAGAGAAACGGTCAAAATCCGTCGATTTGGTGGATTGAGGGAACCGCTCAAAATTATATTATACCAATTTTGGATTGTCTAAAATGTCTTTTTAAGCCATCTAAAACTGGTATTTAGAAAAAACTAACAAGCACCTATTTTTTCAACACCCGTTCAAAATTACACTATGTCCCTGTTTGAACAACATTATTTTTTTCATTCTTCAACTCATTTTCAACTACACATTCTTTATTTTATAAAGAGTAAAATTTGAAAAGAATAAGAGAAACGATCAAAATTCGTCGATTTGGTGGGTTGAGAGGACCGCTCAAAATTATATTATACCGATTTTGGATTGTCTAAAATGTCATTTTTAAGCCATCCAAAACTGGTGTCCAGGAAAACTAAAAAGCACAGATTTTTTCAACACCCGTTCAAAATTACACTATGTCCCTTTTTGAGCCACATGATTATGATCAAATATAATGATCTGTTCAATTCTACTTAAGTGAGGATTAGGAATGTTAATCTTCATAATTGAATCGTGTTGTCAAATAATAAATTCCAAGGTTAAAGGAGATTGATATAAAGGAATTTTAGATCCTAACACGCTTTTCATCATCATATTTTTATAAAATTCACACTAAATTATAACCTTGCACTGATTTTAAATAATTTAGGTCATGCATTTATACATAATTTAAGTGGTCATAATTTAGCTTTAGAAAAATCACAATTTTTAATAGTTTTGATTAAGGCTAAATTAACTTGAACTAGTAATCTTTGTAGGTAAGATATTTGGACTCTAAATTAATTTTACTATTTGTAAACGGACCGTGTACTTGTGGTAATTCAAATAAAGAATATCTTCGCGACAAAGTTTGACAAATTTGAGATATTGAAATAACGAGGTTCGACCAAAACTACACTTAAAGTGAGGTGAATGTGTGTTTATGTGGAATTAAAACTTAATAATTAATTAGTAAAAAATCACTATTAATTATCTCTAAATGGTTAATCAAACCGTCCAATTTTTCCTATATTGACATACGGCGGTTATATGAAAGTAATAAATAAACAAGATATGATCACGGAGAAACTTCAATTGGATAAAATTCAACAGTCCACTATAAACGAATTAGAACTTACAGTCCGCCGACTCGACTACAAGTACTTTCTGACCTCCTGACTGCAATTCCCACCGCTCTCCTGGATTCCATGCTCTTGCACCAACTCCCAATTGCAGTTTTCAAAGCCTTTATGGATTGCGCGCTCCTGCAACAACTCTCAGCGTTATGAATTCGTTTATCTCATGTGGATCAACAAAGAACTCCGTATTCTTCAACAACTGGAACTCCAGTCACATTCCCTTGATTTTTAGAACTCTAATAGATGCGTAAGAAGTAGAAGTTTGGTATTTGGAATAATAGGTTATATAAAGGAAAGACAACTAGATTCACAACACAAGTCTTTAATGTGCTGTACACAAGTGAACTTATGGACTTATAGAGTGGTATTTTAAAATTGGCTTGGTCAAATTCCCATGACAGTGTCCTTTGTAGAGCTTTTATGTCTGGTGCATCATGGAAGAAAACACCCGAGAGGCCATATCTAGAAATCAATGTTGAGAAATGGCATGCAACCACAAGAAGTAAAACAGATATCCCCAAAGGGGACATGACTGATTTTATGTTAATAGCAACTGGAGCACCAACACAAATAGCAGTCACAAACACCGAAAGTGGAGGCAGAAGTGGCCGGATGACATTGCACATTCGAGGAAAGAATCTGTATACACAAGTCAATGTAGGTAAGACAGAAACTGGAATATAACTAAATAAGACGTGTAAACATAGTTAGATACAACTTATTGTTATTTTACTTTGATCGTTGAACAATTTTTGTTCCAATTTAGTCATCGAACTTTAACTTTTGTTTAGTTTGGGCACTCCACTTGTCTCCATCTGTTAACAGAATTGTTGATGCATAAAATTGGCGACGTGGCATAAAAAAAACTATTAAAATCTTGTTGACTTTGATGAGCTAGTAAGATCTCACCGCTTCTTTGTGCTATGTCTTTAATTCTATGAGCCTCGTTATTTTATGTTCGAATTTGATGCCATTTGTGACATTTACTTGTAACACTTTGGGGGCAATGATGAAATGGGCTAAGCCCAACTGCTGGAAAGTTTTTTGAGGAAAAAATTGCCCGATAACACACAAGGACTGACCCAAAATACCCGGCACAAAATCACTACCAATTGGAGTTGCTTTGACCGTTGGATGGAGATTAAATCAAGGGTGATGGCTT